ACAATATGATCAAATTTGAAAATATGGCGTCCGCGCGGCCGACCCTCAAAATTTTCAGGTCGGATTTTTCGTTCATTTGCGATCGAGTTAGACCTTGTGGAACTCAGAATGTAAAGTAACAATGCTATAGAATACTCTGCTTGGAAAAGAATGGATATCAAGGTCTTAAAGGTGACAGAACAAACTCTCGAGTCAACGACACTACGATTCTCTAAGACGATGCGTATTATGGACGTAAAGTGAAAACCGAACTTTCGGACTTCAAGCAGGGCCTAGCGACAATTTGACGATTCGATGGCCCGGTAAATATTATGTTCGAGTAACAATGTGTTAAAAAAGTATTGTTTAATAGAAGATTTTGCGTCAAATCGAAGTTTTTACAGAATTTTCAACATAACGCTGGCAATTTCCACAGGCGGCCCAGGCTCTGTCACAGGCTCTGCCATAGGCTCTTTCACAGTGGATTATCATAGAGTTGGTAAGAGTGGTTTAGTTGGACTTGCTTTTGAGCTCCATAAATATAAAGTTGTGTGAAATAATAAAAGAAATAAAGTCTTACCTTCATACAGAGTAGTCTGTGCTGTTCTTGTCGCGATTTGAGGCCGTTTTTCTGTGTTTCAGCTCAACGTCCTGGCACTACCAAGTAAAAGGGAAGGTAGGAAACCTCTGTCTCACACACACTCGCCAAGATCGCTCGAAAAACACACTTAAATACTTCCCCTTGAATCGAAACTTGGCAGCACGAAAGCCAAATAGTTGCCCTTCAAGTTCATCAAAACAAAAGTTGGGTTGTCGAGCAACCAGCCCAGCGAAAATCTCAAATTGACCGCCATTTCAACGCCGTTAGAATGCGCGTCCATCAAAACCTGTACAGTCAAAAGTTCGTTAGGACGCAGTCAGCCTGGACACTAGCAAAATTAGGCCCAACGGGTGGCCCCACGATATGAATTATTCAGTCAGAAATGAATACCAACACAGACGTGGAGTGAATATTTTGCTAAATGGCTATTGTCAACTGTGGCCAATGTTTAGTAAAACAGCAAGCCATTTAGCAAAATATTCACTCCACGTGTGGGTTAGTATTTATTTCTGACTGAATCAATCATATCGTGGGGCTACCCGCTGGGCCTAATTTTGCTAGTGTCCAGGCTGACCGCGTTCTAACGAACTTTTGACTGCACAGGTTTTGATGGACGCGCATACTAACGGCGTTGAAATGGCGGTCAATTTGAGATTTTCGCTGGGCTGGTTGCTCGACAACCCAACTTTTGTGGGATTTGTTTTGATGAACTTCAAGGGCAACCATTTGGCTTTCGTGCTGCCAAGTTAATGTTGTTTTTTATGCTTTTACCACTGAACTGCGGGAGACTCCTGTGACTGGTGGACTATTTAGCCACTGGCTCTGAGGGAAGGGGAAGTACATGCACTTAATAATTTGTTTCAC